ATAAACTCACTAATGGGCCCCACAGAGATTTTAGAGTCCTTTTTGCGATATTTTGGAAAGGACATTACGTGCCATCCAACGCCATAGTAAATATTTATCTTTCATGTTATTATGAAGAACAACGATTTAATTTCAAGACATAAAGGTCTTTTTGTATTCTGCAATTCGGTAAAATCATTTTTACAGAATATAAATGCCATGCACAACTATATAGAAAGTAATTAAATATAGCTATAATTACTATAATTATTATTATCACTACAGTTTTTGTTTTTTTTCCATTATTATACACTCTAATTAGCAATATCTATGATAGCCTGCATAGATTTTCCATTGGTATTTGATACTGGTTTATCATAATATTTAGCGAATGTCTTAGCATTGCTCCATCCCGCTGATTCAATTATCGTCTGTAACGGAACTCCACGCATGTGTGCGATTGAAGACGCAGCAGCGCGCGTGCTATGTGGTTTGAATGATTTATGCACCCCAGCTTTGTGCATAATTAGCTTAATCCAGCGACAAAATGTTTGTTTTGAAACGGCCCCATGAGGCTTGACCGTTGATATCAGTAATTTATTGGTATTTCTGAGGTCTTTCGTTCTCTGTAAATACTCACTAATGACGCTGACAATACACAAGCGTTTATCTGATTTAAAACTGTCAAACAAAAAGGGTGTCTGATGCCGACAATTTGAACATTATTGACAATTGCCGAAGCCTGGTTTAAACCATATTTATAAATTTAGTAGCTTTACTTTCTATGTAAAATTACCGCCACTAATGTATCGGCCAATCGGAGCTGTATATGATTGTCATAGGTTAAGAAAAAACACAAAGAAGTTTATAATCGAGAAATAATGAGTTCTGAAGCAGTAAAACATCCTTATTTCCCTCGGGATACACATCTGCCTCATTATAAACCTAACATTAACAATATAAGTGAACTTTTAGGACTATTTTTTGGATTAGTTGCAGTTGTTATCGTTGTTCTTTGGTTATTAACAAAACAGAAATCTACCGGTGTTAGGATTAAAATATGCTGGTTCGTTTCATGCGGTTTTATCCATAGCATTTTGGAAGGTTATTTTAGCGTTTATCATGCGACCCTCGCCGGAGAACAGACGTTTTTGGCTCAGATGTGTAAGTTGAAACAAATATTAAAATGAAAAAGATATATTATTTTTAAATTAAAAATATATACGGATAAAAACAAAACTTCATACAACTAGATCTAGTTCTATTTTAACGCTTCAATCATTAATATAAGTGTAAGTTTTAGCCAACAGCCCCACCAACACACACGCACGCACGCACGCACACACACACACACATACACAAGGCGTGCGGATAGGTGTGTGTGCTTTTTTGTTTTTGTTTTTTGAAAGCATCCAAATTTTGAAAGACGTTTGGTGTCAGGTAAAGCTTCGGAAGTGGTGTTCAGTTAAATTCTATATACAGATCTAGCATTAATGTTTGAAAACTAATAAATAACAGATATTTTACAAAATCAAGGGTCGTGTTAGAATTATTATATTACTTGTGTATATTTTTCTATTTAAGGGAAGGAGTATGGAAAAGGGGACAGCCGATATATTTCGTAAGTCAGATTTGAAATCGTTGTTAAATTCTACTTTCCATGCTGTACAAGTGTTAAACTAAATATTTATACCTATATAAATTCAGTACTTATGCTGAATACATGTATAGATGTATATCTATACATGTATAGATAAAGTCAATATTTTATATAGTCATATCGGTAGTTAGACCTATTTATAGTTAAAGTCAATACCTTGATTATATCTTCAAAGTTAATATGCTGTGCAAATATATTTCATGTAAACATTTGTTAACTCATTTGATTTATTGAAATATCATTTATTCATTTATCTATTTCAGTAGATGTCATTATTATTTAATCAGTATAATTATGATATGCAGTTGCATGTATTTGTGTTTATACATGTATGTCAAAAGTTATATCGTCTGCATTTACGAATGAACCACTTAATTCAAACGTATCCGAATAAAGTAAAATGAGTTACAAATTGTCATCATTATGAAAAATGGTTTAATAATTTTATTGGTAGGATATAATTATTTTTGTTAAACCTGAAATTATTCGTTCATATTAATATTATAGATTTTATTTTAAAAAGCTATGATAAACCACTGCTGACTAACTTTGAAACTAGTGGCCTTTTTTCATAGTTGTCCATTTCATAATTTACCAGGAGTGACACGTGCATGGTTGCTATGGAGTCCATTACGGCGTTTATCGATGGTCCACTATGTTTCATGACAGCAGCTTCGTTGTTCTTCAAACAAGGTGCCAAATACCGCTACGTCCTACAGTTTGCTGTATCTATATGTCAACTATACGGGGACACCATTTTCTTCTTCACGGAGATTATAGACGGGTTTAAGCATAGTGAAATGTGGCACCCGCTCCATTTCTGGTTTTATTTCTTCTTCCTCAATATCATATGGATTATTGTACCTGGCATTAATATCCTAGAGGCGTTTTTATCTTTATGTCGTGCACAAGACACGGCTGATAAGGCAAGTCCCCAGAAGAAGAAAAATACAAAGAAATATAGATAAATGAATTGATATTTTATTTACAGTACTCTGAACTTTGTTAGATAAATAAAAGATAAATGCATGGCTACTATGCACACAACAATTTTTCTAAATGTCAGTTATAAGATAAGGTTTTCTGTAAAATTTTAGGCTTTTTCATTATGACGGGGTGACCGTTGGAGGCAGTTACTATGATTTGCGACTTTTGTCGAGTATCTCGAATGAAAGTGAATTGGTCTATAATGAAATGTCTGCAATACAAAATTCAATTACTTTGATAGTATTTAGTATTAGATATAACAACACACCGCGAAATAATTATACATGTATATGGATGTTGTTGGAAAGTGCGGATATCTCATATAGTTTTACACATAGCGGATAATACAATCTTTGAGAATGTTTTATTATTCCAAACATAAATGTTCATTATACACAAATGAAGAACTTAATGGACTTTTTTCACCCAAAATTTCATAAGAATATCCAAATGAGACATTTCTATTGTTTTATCAATGTTTGAAATATTTATGGAAAATGTGCCCATTATAAACATGTCCACTTTAAACGCCTTACTTTATTCTTTTTATTTATAGTTAAAGTTGTAGTACCTTGCAATCGTTAATAAATGTTAACTTTCAATATTTGTGTTTTGACCTTATGCCACGTTATTTGTGGTGCCATATAATCAGAAGCAAAGGTTCACCTACAGCTACTGAAGTCTTGGATTAACTTTTGTCGCTAGTCAAGCCAGGTTGCAGTCTGACCTAGCTCTATACTGTTGGAAGCTCAATTTTTGTATAATTATTAAAATTGTAAGCTTTAAATTTGGGTCTTCAAAGTGGGACAAATTCAGCAGGTCTAACGGCTAAATGGAATCTGTTTTAAATACTGTATAACTTGATCTCGGCATGACGAATTTTAATAATTGTCAGTTTAAATGAAATGTGACAGAATAATTAAATCATTGCATAGTTTGCTGAATTGACTTGTCATGCTTTGATTTAGGAACGGTAATGAAATTTAGCAACACACAGTATATAGCTTGGTCTGACAAATAGTCAAGATTACAGGCGGGTGTCTAGACAGGTGTGACTCTAGGAAGGTCCGGATTTAGAAGTACCGGTCTAGGAAGGTCCGGGTCTAGGACGGTCCGGGTCTAGGAAGGTCCGGGTCTAGGAAGGTTTGGGTCTAGGAAGGTTTGGGCCTAGAAAGGTTTGGGTCTATACCGGCAAATGCTTGTTTATATCGCCATTAGCATTGTAACAGTCAATACTTGAATTACTGTTTAGGCTGAATACCTTCCATAAAGATGTTCAATAAATTCGAGCTGGCAACATTTTCAATTTCGGCGTTCTGAGGCATTCTCTTAGGATGTTTTAATATATAATTTTATGTATGTTGAAGAAAATGCAAAATACGCAAATTCTGCAGGTTAAGAGTTTGAGAAACATTTTTTTCTTGATGAAAATAACACGAACAATAAGATTCTGTTATATGACTATTTATGGACTATTGTTGTATTATATGGGGTAAAGGAAACACAAACTACATAAATAATGTTTGTAAGTTACAAAAACGTATTGCTAAAATCATTTTACAGCAACCTTCAAAGATCTCCGTCAACAAATCTATTCGAAACTCTTAATTGGTTACCGTTTCCTTGACAGATGTAAATACAACACGGCGGTGTTGTTTTTAAAACTTTAAATAACACTGCACCGAACATAGTATGACAGAAAAACTGATGACTTTATCCGACAACAAAATATATAACTTAAGATCTAGGTCACGGAAAGATATTGTATTATGGAAAAAAGATCTAAAACAAATTATATTAAAGACACATTTTCTTATTATGGCATGAACATTTGGAACAATATACCTTTAAATATTCGTAATGTTAATAACCTTAAATGTTTTAAAGAAAAATACAAAGCATATCTTGATGTTCATATGAATGAATGAGTGAGTGAATGAATGAATGAATAAATATATGAACGAATGAACGAACGAACAAATGATGCAATATATATATATGTTTAAACAAAAATTGTTGGGTGCCTGTCGAAAGTTTATGAGTTGTATTATTCTAAAAATTACATATTATACATTCATTTTTCTACCTATGCATGTCCTGTTGTTGTTGTTTTCTTTTTCAGAAGGCCACTTTGGAAATAAGATATATATGATTGTTATTGTATGTTCTTAATGTGTAACCTTCTTTAAATAAAGATATTATTATTATTATTATGACGAAGCTATCCAGCTAGCTTACGAAACGTCGGTGGTTCTATTCACCGTAAATGTCCCTCCATCAGTAACGCTAGAAAGTCGTCATATGACCTTTACAGTAAAACCAATAAAAGCAAACGAAAAAGATTTTCATACGTAAATGTATTTAGCACTTCGTTTCTTTTTCCTTCAATCAAATAAAAGCACAATTATATGCATGTCTAAAACAAAAATTATGAAAGCGTTGCCATTTTGAATCTAAATGATTGTTTTGCGCGCGCATACTGATTTGGATGTATGCTGTACCACTTGATACCGTCGTCCATACTGGTCATGTAAGCTAGACCGTTCTGTGATATTCCATATAGGGACCCAGTGACTTCATCACGTCCAAGAATTATACTGACAGATGATTGAATTCCTTAAAAAAATAAATGCCGATTGGATATTCAGTTTCATTGAGGAAAAAACACAAGATGATAAATAATAAAATTTTCTGTATTCCCGTTTCCTAATGACACCAGAATGAATTACCTAAAGTGATTTAAATATAACTGAGTTATCAAAATAACCAAAGCAAAATGCTGCAATTCGCCATTTATAGCACATCTAAAAGACCTTTGCATTAAAAGACAGCTGTTATGATGTTTCTTGAAAGGAACGTTTATATTTCATCTTTATTTTATAAATGTGAGTAAACAATGCCATACTTTCAATTGTATCGTTGCCTTTTCGGTGATAGCAATGGACTCTGTCCGATGGTTTTCTTTAAGAAAAGAAATAAAATACTTATTTCATTTATAAATAAGTCTCTTTAATTTTCTGAAAAATGTATGTTTCGTTGAAACTTAAGAAACCCATCATATCTGTGTACATATATCTAACTAACAATTTACATTGTATACGGACATATGTCTTGAAGCTTTCTTGAAACTTGCAGCAGGTGTCAAGTGCAGCTGTAAAAAGTTGTCCCGTCACGTACTTCATTGTTGTTATATGTTTCTGGTCCTTCGGTATATTTGATTCCAGCTCTTTTAAGTGTTGAAAATTGAGTACCCCTACAGCCTGTGCTAGGGAGCGTGAAGGATGTTGAGTAACTAACAGTTCTATGCAAATTGGCAAAAGAAAATACGGTTATATTTGTGAGCAATGAATTCAAAAGGCGGTGCTCAAATTTATACTGCTAAAAACGGACCAGGAAATTGCAACATCATTGACAACTTTTTACAGCCACCACACAACATGCTGTAAAACCTATACTACAACAGGAATGGATTTTTGAAAGAGGAAACAAATAGGTGGGAATAGGTTAAATTGAAATAAACCATGCTTAAAATATGTACTATACTTAGAAAAGATAAGGAATCGAAAAGTAAAAGCATACGTATATCGTCTTGCAGTAGCACATATGAATAAATCCCCATTGTCATCTTTTAGCATAGACCTCATCCCATAGCCTGAATAAACATACATCCAGTTCATATATATATAGAGAGAGACACACCCAGTATCATTTATATTTAGTTCAGAATTTCGTCGTGGTCAGTCAAATCAAGTGTCTTTTTAAGATCAAGGAATACTGTTCTCCCCATTTTTTCCACAGTAAGAATCATTTAACGAGGAATTGATCAGTCGATTATATTAACCGTTGAAACAATCAAAATTCAGATAATAATATTGTGATGTTGAAAATAAAAAGTTGAAAACAAAAACAAAAAAGAACGTCGGAGTGTAAATGTTTTGCTCACCAGGAAGAGTTTTCACACAAAGCCACGGGTAATTGCAATCCACACATGTTATGTTGTCAATTATTCCATTACACTTATTCTCTGTGGTGCACCTGCATTGTGTATATTTTCCGTCAATGCATCCACACAATCGTTTCCATTCTTTTCCTGTAAAAAAGTTAATAAGTGCAACACCAAGAAAGCTTTTAAATAAAAAAAACTATGCATACCTATTTCTTTTTAAATTCGTCAAGACCAGTGTAGACTGCACTGTTCGCTAACCAGACAATAATTATTCAAATATTTTCGGTTTCTGTCAAGACTGAAAGATTAAGATATTTCGCTTAGCTTAGGGTAAAAATCTATTTGTATAAAGCTCTGTTTAAAGCTCTACTTGCATGACCTTGTCTGTCCGAGCTTATATTTTATATCTGTATTATTTTTTTACAGTAATTCAGACATCGATAATTACCTTTTCATAACAACGAATTTCAAGTTCCATAATATTCATTTTTCATCTTCAAAAGAAATACTTCATATAACATTAAGCGTAAAAGCTACCTTATGCCCTTAAAGCAAAATATGCACGCCTCAATATCCTTTTGTCCGAATGTAAATAACTTGATATTACAGATATTTCTGCATTTTATCCAACCGACGCCTTTGTGTAGATAAGCAAGACCAGGAAAACCTACGACTTTGCGTGAAACAGATACAACAGCTCCTATCATACCTTTTGATATATTGAGATACCCAGGGAAGCCTTCAATATATTGACTGATATTTTTGTTCCTCCATCCAGTATATATAATTTCAGCAATGATCAAGAATTCCTCGCCGGCTTTGTATTGTTTATTAGGTACGTCTAAAGTAAGACTAAACTGAAGCTGGATATTTTGTGCAAATGAAACTCTTGGGATCTATTGAAATATTAGGAAAAAAAGTATAAAAATGACATATGGGAATAGCATCAAAATTTGAGAAAGATAAAGACACACATGAATATATAATGTTTAGGTAAGTAGATCAGGTAATTTACGTTCCAATGCCGAGTTGATGCCAATTTATGACAAACAACAATGCCTAAATATTGAATATGTTATATTTAGTAAGAATTATTTCACTACTATTTATAACAGCTTTGTAATGCCTAGCTATATGATTCATGGCTGTTTTTTTTTAATTATGTTTATTTCCCTTTTACATGATGTCAAATCGTTGCAACTATATACGAAAATATTTTTATTTCCAATGAAATATTTTAAAATGGTACAATGTTTGCCGTACTTTGGTACTGTATTACTACGAGCAAACAACAATGTTTTCCAATTTTTAGTGAAGAATCCAAAAGTGAAAATTATTAATTCATAATTATCATGGTATACACATTTGTGTATTGAGTAGTAGTTAAAATGTGCTACCGTCATTTCTATGCAATTTTCATGTAAGATATTTTCCACAACAGTGTTTGTTTTGATAACATCTTTGGTTTTTAGCATGTTGACGCCATGAAGAAATGGAGGAAGATACAGAAATAATGAAACATCGTAGGCAGAGGACCAGGAAATATTTTCTGTATGCCATATTCGTAGCTGGTACTCGACATCAGTTCTGTACAAATTTAGAACGAAAAGATATATAATAGGTTTTAGATAATTGAAATCGTAATCGGAGGTATTGAACATAAACAAATAACTGAATATTTTGTACAAAATGGTCAATGTCTATAATGTGTTTCAAGAATGTTGGCAGCAGCATTATTGAGCTCATCCCCAGGAGTCAGTAGAAATTAGGCATGTTGATAAAGATTGCCGGTAAGTTAATTGAGCAACTTTTTAGTGGTACAAGACAAAGTGCAGAAAATTATAATGTGAATTATTATGTATTGTATATAAACATATTTTCCAGTGTACAATATTTCAAACAAATATTAATCAACGTGATAATGAGATATATCATTCAATTTGGACGAATTATTTATTTGCAGACAAATGCTTTATAATTAATGACATTACATGAAAGTATTTTGAGAATGGCATATACAGATGATATAACTTACTGAGTGTTTTCAACGTAAGTCTCGATAAATTCAAGGGTAAAATTTAGCTGTGGTGAACGTTCTACTTGCAATTTTCTGTTAATTGTCACAGTGCAATGTCTAATGATAAGTGAGTGTTCCCCAACCCCTAAAACGTACACAACTTTAACTTTCAAGCCATCAGTTGATCCAACGAAATCTAATCCTTGAACCTTTAATAAAAAGTCAAGTTCAATAGATGAATTAAAATCTGTATTGTTATATTCAATACGAGGGATTGTCAGCACTACATTATCGATCTCTGACGTCCGTGAACTTGACTGATATTCCGGATTTGTTTCGCTACTGAGTCTCGAAAAATCATCAACTAAGCCAGAATATCCGACAAATTGAAAATCTGTAATCGTCAAATATGTTTCCTCCTCTATAAAATAGAAAAATATATATTATTGTGAGATTATTTTATCTGGTTAATTTAGATATCATGTTGTTTTATGATACTAGTATATATTTATGCATATAAGTCACGTAGATAAAATAATAATATTTTAGAAAAATCTCTATATTTTCAATATTTTCGGTAGCGCTTGCAATGCTTTCTAAGTATATCTTCAGCCGAAATTTTATTTTAGTGTGTATATGTATAATCGAAAATGTTTTCAAAAGAACACCACGTTTTAATATGATTTACTTATTAATTCGAAATGGTAATAATAAGCATTATACAGATGATCAAAGTACTGTGTCACCATTCTTTAAAAACATGCTGTGACAAATAATATGACTGAGTTAATAAATGCGTGTTCATCACTGTATTACTTGTAATTGATTTAGTTTTCTACAGGTTCTATCTGAAATAATATAATTAATAATAAAACCCTAAAATATTCATTGAAGAAGATGAAATGTACAATATGCATCGACTTAACCAGCATTCAGCTTAATAATAATTACTCAGTACCATTGAGATGAGTTTGCAAAAGAAACATTGTGAAAAGAAACTTCTTGGAAAGCAGCGGAAATGGAAATGAAAATAATTAAACAAAAAAGGAAATTTGCAGACTTGGCTTTATTTAGAATGTTCACGGGAACAATTTATTTAACAACATGCCTCACGTGTGTTCCCTTGCACGAATAAATATGAACGTTTTCATACGATATAAATGGTCATCAAATGATTTTACCAGTAGAACCTGACAAAAAAGAACAGTTAGGGTGTATCTAAATAAATGATATCGTTATCCGTTTCAACAAGTTAAAAAAAAGTAATGCAGTATTATAAACATGTACTTGCCATAAGGTGCACTTGCTGATTTAAAAGGTGACGAAATATTTCTCGGCATGTATACACTAAGTGAAGATGCTTCTAAAGGGATTGTTGGCAAACGTACGCTTGATATTATCGTGGACCTCTCTTTCATGTCCAAATAGTCTGGTTCTGGTAACGATATTTTAACTCCCGGTAATTCCATGAAGACATATTCTCCAAGTATAATTGTTTGGTGAACCAGAGCAGCTTCCGAAAAAAAGAAAATATACATAATGGGACGCAATAGGCAACCAAGTGCAGCTGTATCTGAAAACAACAGTGAAAGGAACGATTATATAGACACTGAAAACTGAAAAAAAAAGATACAATTAAAGTTATCAATGTTTATCAAAATTGGAATTTACTCTAGAGAGCCGATAATACATATGTTTTCATTTTATTATACTAGTATTGAAGGTTAATAATTTACGAACCGGCAACGTGAAGTTCTATTTGACCCGCCATACTTTGCAGGTTCAGCGAACCATAACTTGTAGAAAACTGAATGTCTAATTCTGGGACCGGGTGCAGTGCCGATTCCTGTATGAAATATACATATAAAGATATGCTGACATAATGGCTCTATTAAATAAATGAAAATAAAAAATAATACACACACAATGGTAAATGGATTAAGTTTTTAATCTAAGCAGACATAAAACTATTTTACTCGAATTTAATCGGAGAATCGTTATCAATTATACTAAGCATTTAAGTTAACAAAACTTACATAGATAATTGAAGTAAAAAGGGGAAGGACAATGAGTATCATAATATCATAAACCTTGATAACTTCAACAGCTAAATTCAAGCCATCCGTTTCTACTGCAAGTCCGTCCGGTGTTTGCCATGTGAAGTTGGTTTTCTGTAGGTCAGAGCTGTCCAGAACCTCGTGCAATGTAATGAAAATGGTCACATTATATCAAACTTGAACAACATAAACTTTGTCCTATCTAATATGTTTTTTTATTCTTAAAATGAGCTTTGTCAATTAAAACGTACAACTATTTAAGCGAGATAAAGCGTGCGAGCGTTTCACAAACATTCCGTAAGTTTTGCGTATCTTTTTACGTAAATTTGAACTTACGTAAAACGTAAATTTACGTAAAACAGAACGTGCAATTTACGCCAGTAATTAGTGAGTTTATCTTTACGTTAAACTTACGCAACTGTGTAGCTAAGAAAGTTTAGTAAAACGCAAATATATACGTAAGTTCTGCTGACGATCAAACTCAGGTTACGATAACGTAAGTACATTATTGAAACGCACCCCTGCTGGCTTGTATTGCACTGTAGAACTATGTACACTATAAAATATATAAAGAAAATATAGTCCAAAAAGTACACAAACAAACTAATTGTAGATCATGTACATCATGGAGATTTCTTATAACAATATTTGCAATCAGCAAACTTTGCTCATGCATAAATTTCTTAGATTAACAGTTCAAAATTGTCCGAAAATTTTCATTAAATATTAATTCGACCTGTTTCACGGGGGAGGAAGTGTTACACGAAGGATGGAGTTCTTATGATAACTTGTTTGGAGTTCTTATGATAACTGTCACGGAGTTCCTGGAAAACGTTACGGATTTCTGTGGAAAACTTTTCTATGTACTTGGAGAACTCGCGTAAAAAATGGTTATTTTTAGCTTTAAATGGGGAGTTTGAGGTGCTTAATTAAACTTTGATAATTAAGCTTGCGCTACATATTGTATTATGTTTCAGAAAAAAAATCTTTTAGTCCATATTTCGTCGCCGTTTAAAAAAATCTGGTAGTTTTGAGAAAAATTCCCGAATTACTCGCTAATTCGTTCATATTGACCTTTTCATTTGTGATCTTCTTCGTTGCTATACATAATCACCTTATTATAGTGGAGAGTTGCAAACATAAAGCCCGGGCTAATAAATGTATACCCGATTTTTCAAATGTTACGGAGTTCTTGTGATAACTCAAAATATGTCCTGGAGTTCTTATGATAACTTTTGTTACTGCCAGTGTGTTTCTTGTGCTTAATTACGGCACGTTTAAGCGTATTTTATTAGTCAAGTGATAGTTATAGAATATATACGAGGACTTTACCGGCTGGTATCAGCGAATGGGGCGACAACAAGGGTCAATCATAGGAAATTAATCGAGACGGAACGTCGAGATTAATTTCCATGATTGACCCTTTTGTCGCCCCATGCGCTGATACCAGCCGGTGAAGTCCGAGTATTTATTCTGTAACTGTTTTATCGCATGACCGCCACAACTTTCCTTTGAAGATCGGCGTTCTCTAAATTTCAGTATTGGAAAACTTTGGGGTGCTCTAAATGAAGTATCAGTACGCTTTGGGGTGCTCTAAATGAGGTATCAGTACACTTTCTCGCGCATGCCCAGTTTATTATTTTATTTCAAATAATAAAATGAGCATACCTGGAAAAGAGCAAAACAAAACATTACACAGTTTACAGACTTTTTTTTAAATACATGTATTTATATATCATCTCGATTTTTTTCAAAATCTGAAAATGCAGTTATTATAAAGATGGTGACTCCAGTGGAAAGTAATCGCCATTTTCTGCATCCTGACCTCGAGGACAAATCTGACACAATGGTCAAATTATTCTTTTTTTTTACTTTAAACAATGTCTTCGTTTTACAGGAGATTCTGACCAGTAAGCCATTCAGTAAATCACTACAGGTATATGAACATAATATTCTAGCGTTATTATTTATAGATGGAAGTAGTGTTAAAGGCACATTATGCGTCAGAAATCCTAGCATTTTTATTTCTCAAAATTTTAAATATTTGGTGTCTTGTTACAAGTTCCACAAAAAATACTTATTTGCCATATAAATGAACTGTCTTTGCATCTTTTGCTTTGCTGGCAATTGGTATAATTATAATGAATTAGTATTTTTGTATGGAAGTCAAAATACTATTTGTTTACATTTTGCTACTTTTTTGACACATTACTGCACATTCAGCACTACTTTCTTCAGCTGTTAAATATTTTACATGTTCTAAATCCATTATTAAAACATTATTAAACATGTGTTTTACATTTCTTAAGAATTGAATAAAAAAGGATTTCTGAGGCATAATGTGCCTTTAAGTAAAAATCACTACATTGTCGTTAGTTTTAAAAAAATACGCGTACATACCTCTGAAATATACACCGGGATACTTATCGACAATATTTCCTTGATTATATTTTGAAAATGAGCTGGAAAGATGATTATTATTTCGCATTTAAAAAATTGCATCAACTTACCTCGTGAAATGGTTATTTATGTCCAGTTCCTTCAACGGCATCTAATGGGTGTATTTCTGTGAGTATTTCTTAAAATATTTACATGCTTAAATAAAGCAAATATTACGAGAGAAGAAAAAAGTCGTGATGGTCATGCGATAATAAGTGTGTAAATCATTATGAAGCATAGTACGCTTATCATTTGCACAAAAATTTGGTTATATAACGTTGGTTTTGATCGTGTTTTAGTTCCTAATTAAATTTATGCGAAATCATATTGACATTATAAAACCCAACGAATGCACTAAATGTTTCTGTGTATACTGTTCATCAACAAAAGTTTTATGTCATAAGTTTCCGCAAATGCAACATTGAGGCCATGTGGCAAAATTAAAACACGATCATTCAATATATATGGAGAAGACATGAAACTGCTTTAGTGTACAGTCTACATAGGATAAACAGGTGCTAAGCTATCTTCAGGAACGACCGCTTCCGTGGTCGAGGGGTTTGAGTCGATGACTTCTAATCCAGTAACCGCCTTTCTAAAGCAGACAATAAGTAGTTGGGCTTCCCTCAAGAAGCGGCTAAGTAAATTGTATCATTATATACCATGTATCGTATAGAACCGGGATACCCTTCACACCCATGCACCCGAAATGTATGATCTTTTTATGCATAAAAAATCAACCGATTACTACCGATCTCTTACTACAGATTTGCACGTGCCCTACGGGTTCGAGCGAAAGAAGTTCGACAACATATTTTTGTAATCAATTACAGCAAAAGTTGTTGCAAAATTTCCACAACTAGGACTCCAACTTTGATAAGAAAAATGTATGCAGTAATTTTCCGAAATATGGAGATTGCTGTACGTCACGTGATGCTACATTGGATTTATTAATAGAGAAAGGAACAAGGTCGATAAACGGCATGAACCTTACGGTGACTCACATATCTTACTGAAGACTTACTTTCTATCGTCATATCATTGTCATAGAACTTTATACGTTTCTATGACAAAAACTGATAACTTTTAGAAATTGAAATACCCGTTGAATATATAAAGACGACACCCACCTCATTAAATTTAGATAAAGGTAGTGCATACTACCTCCTATTTTGCTGAAAACCATTTACACGCATACCGATAGCATAGTTACTAAATGTTCTTTAAAACTGCCAGGAATAATGTATATATGAAGAAATCGTGCTTGAGTATTAAATTCAAAGCGTATTTTTATCCTGTAGGTAAATGCTCTACATTAAGTATGTTTACAGTCATTCCAATAAAATTTAAAAAAACACACACACACACACAAAAAGACCAAAACAAACACAAAAAAACACAAGAAACGGAGGTCAGAAAAATATCTCTTGAACTGAAAAACACGATCAAAACCAACGTTATATAACCAAATTTTTGTTCAAATGATAAGCGTACTATGCTTCATAATGATTTACACACTTATTGACTAATAAAATACGCTTAAACGTGCCGTGATTAAGCACAAAAACACACTGGCAGTAACAAAAGTTATCATAAGAACTCCAGGACAAATTTTGAGTTATCGCAAGAACTCCGTAACATTTGAAAAATCAGGTATAAATTTATTAGCGTGGGCTTTATGTTTGCAACTCTCCATAATAATTAGGTAATTAAGTATAGCAACGAAGAAGATCACAAATGAAAAGGTCAATATGTACGAATTAGCAAGTAATTTGGTAATTTTTCTCAAAACTACCAGATTTTTTTAAAAAAGGCGACAAAATATTAACTAAAAGATTTTTCTGAAACAAAATACAATTTGTAGGGCAAGCTTAATTATCAAAGTTTAATTTAGCACCTCAAACTCCCCATTTAAAGTTAAAAATAACCATTTTTTACGCGAGTTCTCCAAGTATATAGAAAAGTTTTCCACAGAAATCCGTAACGTTTTCCAGGAACTCAGTGACAGTTATCATAAGAACTCCAAACAAGTTATCATAAGAACTCCATCCTTCGTGTAACACTTCCTCCCCCGTGTGTTTGCCTTTTTATAAAACGTACGTGTATTATGTATTAAGTTGTTAAAAATGATAAAGGTTTACCAATAAACTGGAACCATTAACAACAATGGACACATCATCAGCGGCTGTAGACAAATTAAAGGTAATACTAAACGCATACGTAATATTATCTCCATGTGTTACTAAAGTTCGGACTTCCGGTCTGACAAGCTGAAAGTGGCTGCTTTTGACGTCAATTTGACAGTTGACAAACCAAATCATTCCTATAAAGCAAATCTTTCAAATTGTAAAAATGAATGAAAAGGGGGTAATGGAGAAATAACAATAAAATTTGTCTCTAATAAAAACTAAGATAGTCGGATTTTTGAATTTTTACCTTTTTTTCTTTTTGTTGCTTTCGATTGATCTGTTTTTCCAGATTTAACAAGATATTTTCATGCTGATGTTTGCCCCTGAGTCATGAATGTCTTGTAATTTAAGTTAAGAATTTGTAATATAAGTTTGATAAATAACGAGAAAAAGCCGACCGAATTTTTTCGCTATATTTATGTCACCTTAAATCTGACAATTGCCAAATTAAAGTTGTAATACAATGTATAATATAATGCACTAGTTGATTATATTTTTCAATAAAATAGTAAGCGTTTCTGTGTGGAGTGTTTTCAATAGCTTTTTCAAACTTTATATGTAGGGTTGACTATTTGAGCTACCAATTTAGTAGAATAATGTCATGTATAACGAATAAGTTTGTCAGCAACGCTTCTGGCACTATAACACCTGAACGTCTTACAAAAGTGTACCAAATTAAATATACTGTATATATAACTTCATTAGAAATAAATAAAAAAATACGTTTCTTTTGCATTGACAGGTAATGGACCAATCATTGAGTAATTTATTTAATTATACAGATATGTCAAGATAATACAAAACAGTATACACGTACGGTAAATTCTAGCGAATCAAAAATATAGTCACTGAAACACTTACCAAACAAACTGGCGAGAATCTCTGTTAACCAACTCATTGCTACCATTGAATCACTTCTGAATACTTCCTTTGAATAAATGAATATGTTAACGTCTATATAACGATATAGAGCTTTAATTACCTATTTTAGTGTCTATCTAGCGAATATACTCGTATGTAACTTAATTGTACCATGTGGATTAATTAACTGTGGATACCAGAAGGAAATTGAAATAGCAAAAAAGGAGGTAATCATATGGCTAATAATACCAAATCAGTCATTTGTAATATTCAAAATCATCATGTTTTATTATTTGTTTATTTATCGGCATTCTGTTAAATAATGATAGCACCATTACATCCCGATCATTCGAAGCTGGATAATTGCCGAAAAAGAAAGTAAATTGTTGTGATAAAATGTTTTATTATGAATTCTGCCGTAAACATTCATTGACTCGCATCAGAATTTATTTAAGACTTGGCGGGGTGTTTGAAGGAAGGTATTTTCACTCGCACACTTTTCTTCTTCTTTTTACTTAGAAGATTTTCAAACTGCCTTTTGAGTTGACACACAGCAGAACGATCATTATGTTAAACATTGGTGTTATTTCAGTTATTTTCGACGAGGAGAAATCTTTCTCAGTAATCAGATTTCTCATTCGGTGGTTAAGTACAATATCGCCTTTTGAATTTGTTTTCTTTTCAAATTTTCTTTTGGCAAATGTCTGTAAAACCTCTGATCTTTTTTCATTATTTTGCTTTGTTTACTTACACATTGCCCTCCATATACGGAATTGTTACATTGAACTGCTATATAAACACGGATGATTCTAAACAAAACATTATGCTTTAGAAGTTGCCAGAGTGCTGGGGAAGATATATATATATATATATATATATATATATATATATATATATATATATATATATATATATATATATATATATATATATATATATATATATACCTTTATTAATTAACTTTTCAATATTGGGCACGTTTTCACTTCAAACGTAAGGCCAATATGAAGTTCAGCACGGCATTATGTCATTATGAAAAAAAAATACGGAAACTCGGCTATTACGAGATTTGAGAATTTTGATTGGCTCCCCAGCTCGGCCATTATGAATCAGCTTTTTTTTTCATTGAAAAAAATCGCCATTTTAAATTGCATGAATCTCATTTGCATAACCTCACAACAATGGAATTTTACGTTAGTTTTTTTTTTGTCACTTTAGTACTTAAGTAATTAACTTGTTCGAACTCATCCGAGCTATCACCTAGACAAGCATCCTGACCAAGTTGGATGATGATTGAGGCAAAAATGTGACCGCTAGAGTGTTAATAAGGTTTTTCCATTTTTAGCTCCGGTGACCTAGTTTTTCACCCAGGATGACCCATGTTCGAACTCATCCAAGCTATCACCTAGACAAGCATCTTGACCAAGTTTGATGATGATTGATGGAAAAATGTGACCGCTAGTGTTAACAAGGTTTTTCTATTTTTAGCTCCGGTGACCTAGTTTTTCATCCGAGATGACCCATGTTCGAACTCATCCGAGCTATCACCTAGACAAGCATCTTGACTAAGTTCGATGATGATTGATGCAAAAATGTGACCGCTAGTGTTAACAAGGTTTTTCTATTTTTAGCTCCGGTGACCTAGTTTTTCATCCGAGATGACCCATGTTCGAACTCATCCGAGCTATCACCTAGACAAGCATCCTGACCAAGTTTGATGATGATTGAGGCAAAAATGTGACCTCTAGAGTGTTAACAAGGTTTTTCTATTTTTAGCTCTTGTGACCTAGTTTTTCATCGAGATGACCCATGTTCGAACTCATCCGAGCTATCAACTAGATAAGCATCCTGACCAAGTTTGATAATGATTGAGGCAAAAACCGCTAGTGTTAACAACTAAATGTTGAAGGTCGACGGACAATCATCGATCCTAAAAGCTCACCCTGAGCAGGCTCAGGTGAGCTAAAGTGTTTGAATTTAGTTGTGATTGAAAAATGGTTGTTCCGGGATAGAATATCAAATTCGTGTAAGTTCAATACTAAAGTTATTGAACTCTTGAATAAAATAATATTATGCTTGCCAGAGGCTCGCATATTTTTTTTATTCAACACGTTCAAAGTATTTTAAAATGGACGACCTATCTGCTGCTTCTTTTGTATTGCTGATTTTTACTTAACCAAAGCTGTTTATGTGTAATGGGCTTAGAAACTGCTTACTTTATTTATATGATGGACTTATCCGCTGCTAATTTTATGTGATGAACTTACCAACTGCTTATTTTGTGTAACAGACTTAGCTACTGATGTTTTTGTGTACTAGACTTCAACCAACTGCGTATTTTATTATGTAATTGACTTACTGCTTATTTTGTGTAATGAGTTTCTGTGAAGCAGTATCACAGTATATAAACGAAATCACTGTACCTAGTCTTGCGAGCATATACAATTCAATATTCTTGTGAGTACAAATACATGTTTCTTCCAGTCACTGTACCCTTCTTAGGAGCCTATATATTTTAACTTGTATCTTTCTTGTGAGTACAGGAAGTAGACTGATTTGTAGACTGTGAGAATACATAACGTGCATAAGGATCATATATTATGACAAAAATGGAATTTATGTCATTAAAGAAAAACGACAAAAAATGAATGCATTAACAAATAAATTTATTTAATCTACCAACATTAACATCTGCATTATAAAGATGACAATATCATAATCTGCATCCAAAAAGCACTTTTGAAACACACTCTTCCTCAATATAGATGAAACTGACAGTTAATACCTGTTTTATTCTGTAACACGCTTACTGGCTGGTATTATTTTAAACAAGAGGGCCATGATGGCCCTGGATCGCTCACCTGACACAACCGCATCCAAGCAATGTCTTAAACAAGCATCATGACCAAGTTTGATGCGACTGAGTCAAACATGTGACCTATAGTGTGTTGTAAAGATTTTTCCATATTTGGGCAATGTGACCTAATTTTTGACTGGACACAACCCATATTCAAACTTGACCTAGAAATCATCAAAACAACCTTCCTGACCAATTTCCAGGAAATTTGGATCAAAACTGCAGCCACTAGAGTGTTAAAAAAAAATTTCTATTTTTAGCTCCTGTGACCTAGTTTTTGACCAGACATGACCAATCTTAGCACTTGACCCAGAAAACATCAAAACAACATTCTTGACAAATTTCCAGAATATTTGAATCAAAACTGCAGCCACTAGAGTGTAAACAAGCTTTTTCTATTTTTAACTCCTGTGACCTAGTTTTTGACCTGAGATGACCCATCTTCAAACTTGACCTAGAAATCATCAAAACAACCTTCCTGACAAATTTACAGAATATTTGAATCAATACTTCAGCCACTAGAGTGTTAACAAGCTTTTTCTATTTTTAAATCCTGTGACCTAGTTTTTGACCGGAGATAACCCATCTTCGATCTTGACCTAGAAATCATCAAAACAACCTTCCTGACAAATTTCAAGAATATTTGGATGAAAACTGCAGCCACTAGAGTGTTAACAAACTTTTTTCTATTTTTAGCTCCTGTGACCTAGTTTTTGACCTGAGATGACCCATCTTCGAACTTGACCTAGATATTATCTAAGCAACCTTCCTGACAAATTTCCAGAATATTTAGATGAAAACTGCAGCCCCTAGAGTGTTAACAAGCTTGTTCTATTTTTAGCTCCTGTGACCTAGTTTTTGACCGGAGATGACCCATCTTCGAACTTGACCTAGATATCATCAAAACAACCTTCCTGACAAATTTCCAAAATATTTGGATCAAAACTGCAGCCACTAGAGTGTTAACAAGGTTTTTCTATTTTTAGCTCCTGTGACCTAGTTTTTGACCCGACATAATCTATCTTCAAACTTGACCTAGATATCATCTAAACAACCTTCCTGACAAATTTTCAGAATATTTGGATGAAAACTGCAGCCTATAGAGTGTTAACAAGCTTTTTTCTATTTTTAGCTCCTGTGACCTAGTTTTTGACCTGAGATGACCCATCTTCGAACTTGACTTAGAAACCATCAAAACAACTTTCCTGACAAATTTCCAGAATATTTGGATGAAAACTGCAGCCTATAGAGTGTTAACAAGCTTTTTCTATTTTTAGCTCCTGTGACCTAGTTTTTGACCGGAGATGACCCATCTTCGAACTTGACCTAGATATCATCAAAACAACCTTCCTGACAAATTTCCAAAATATTTGGATCAAAACTGCAGCCACTAGAGTGTTAACAAGCTTTTTCTATTTTTAGCTCCTGTGACCTAGTTTTTGACCGGAGATGACCCATCTTCGAACTTGACCTAGATATCATCAAAACAACCTTCCTGACAAATTTCCAGAATATTTGGATGAAAACTGCAGCCTCTAGAGTGTTAACAAGCTTTTTCTATTTTTAGCTCCTGTGACCTAGTTTTTGACCCAAGATAACCCATCTTCGAACTCGATCTGTATTTCATTAAGACAAACATTCTGACAAAGTTTGATGATGATCCAATCAAAACTGTGACTGCTAGACTGTTAACAACCCAATTATTAGAGTGTTAACAAGCTTTTTCTATTTTTAGCTCCTGTGACCTAGTTTTTGACTGGAGATGACCCATCTTCGAACTTGACCTAGATATCATTAAAACAACCTTCCTGACAAATTTCCAGAATATTTGGATGAAAACTGCAGCCTCTAGAGTGTTAACAAGGTTTTTCTATTTTTAGCTCCTGTGACCTAGTTTTTGACCTGACATAATCTATCTTCAAACTTGACTTAGAAACCATCAAAACAACTTTCCTGACAAATTTCCAGAATATTTGGATGAAAACTGCAGCCTATAGAGTGTTAACAAGCTTTTTCTATTTTTAGCTCCTGTGACCTAGTTTTTGACCGGAGATGACCCATATTCGAACTTGACCTAGAAATCATCAAAACAACCTTCCTGACAAATTTCCAAAATATTTGGATCAAAACTGCAGCCACTAGAGTGTTAACAAGATTTTTCTATTTTTAGCTCCTGTGACCTAGTTTTTGACCGGAGATGACCCATATTCGAACTTGACCTAGAAATCATCAAAACAACCTTCCTGATCAATTTCCAGGATATTTGGATCAAAACTGCAGCCACTAGAGTGTTAACAAGCTTTTTCTATTTCTAGCTCCTGTGACCTAGTTTTTGACCCAAGATAACCCATCTTCGAACTCGATCTGTATTTTATTAAGACAAACATTCTGACAAAGTTTGATGATGATCCAATCAAAACTGTGACTGCTAGACTGTTAACAACCCAATTATTAGAGTGTTAACAAGCTTTTTCTATTTTTAGCTCCTGTGACCTAGTTTTTGACCGGAGATGACCCATCTTCGAACTTGACCTAGATATCATTAAAACAACCTTCCTGACAAATTTCCAGAATATTTGGATGAAAACTGCAGCCTCTAGAGTGTTAACAAGGTTTTTCTATTTTTAGCTCCTGTGACCTAGTTTTTGACCCGAGCTAACCCATCTTCGAACTCGACCTGTATTTCATTGAGATTAACATTCTGACAAAGTTTGATGATGATCCAATCAAAACTGTGACTGCTAGACTGTTAACAACCCAATTGTTGACGACGCACGACGCACGACGACGGACGCCGGACATAGCCCCATCACTATACCTCACCTTGACCACTTCGTGGTCAGGTGAGCTAAAAAGCATGGTATAAGTCAGAAATTTGTCAACTCAAAATGTTGAGAAATTTCTGCCACAAGCACAATTACTATCAGAGTACAGAACAGAACAAAATAGACTTGTATGAAAAATCTCTCATGACCTGTAGCACTGGCTTAAATATATTCAATCTTTATCAACAATGTGCTGGAATAAAAATCTTGTTACCATTTGCTTCTAAACAACTTTACATAAAACTAAATAAGTTGGTAATTGATATAATTATTACAAAAGGCTTATTTTTCTTACTGACAGAAATTATGTCTTTAAAGTGTATAGTATAATATTACACAATTAAACAATCCTATCTGTGCCATACTGAAGCTTTACAGTTGAGCATTTATTCGGACATATAATTTATATACATTACGTCAAACAATATATCATTCACAAACTTTTTATAAACATTTAGTCATATATGGTAAATATATAATATTTACAAAAATCACATGTATACAATAAATCATAGTATGTGAAGATATTATCATGTTGATAATTTGGTCTGTACTCATGGAATGGTCCAAAAAAAAGTCTACATAATCTAACAATATTCATTCTAATACACCATAATATGACTCAATTATTCAATACACTTCATATTTCCTTTATATAAAATAACTAATCCAATGTGATAATAGAAGAAAACTGCATTAACAATGAAAATAATGAAATTACCAACTCTCCTCTAAAAGAAAAAAAAATCATTTAAATTTTATATTGTTACACTTCATTTCATAATCTTTATTTGGTTTTGTTATTAGTTTATGTTGTTTCATTTTACTACCTTATAATCTTGTACAAATCTATATAACAACTCACAATAAAATTTCAATCTGACACATGAAAGAACAATTATAAGAAGTCTTAACTTCAAACATAATTATTTATTCAAAAACAAGTGACATATATTTTAACATAAATTCAGTCAGCATTATATGCCAATGAAATACCCTTTTTTCCTATTAAATAAATATACACTGGTCACAATTTTGTAGTATATTGTAAATTCTCGATTGTTATTAATTGTTCCTGCTAGCCGCAGCAGAATACTCCCATGTGACCAGTGCAGACCAATATCATGGTTCCCACTGTTTGCTAGTCAGTCAACATTTACTTAAATTTATATTTTAACAATTGAAAGATGAACAAGTCTAAGATAATTCAGTGTGGTATGGGTCAACAAATTAATAATAAATGAGCCGTGTCACGACAAAACCAACGTTATGCGTTTGCGACCAGCATGGATCCAGACTGCGCGGATGCGCAGGCTGGTCTGGATCCATGCTGGTCGCAAACGCATAACGTTGGTTTTGTCGTGACAAGGCTCAAATGATGACTTTGATGTGACAATACAACCCTTTATACCCTTGTGGCATTAATGAACTACATAAGTCACCAGTGTGTAATTGGGCCCACACTTAACAATGATATAACCACACCACACTGATGATTTATAATTATAGCACTATTATATCAACATCCTATATATTTACAATAGACTCTTATGTAACTGAATTATTGAGACAAGGGCAAGTTTAATACATATATTACCTTTTTACATGGTGTATACTTAGTAAATTAATTAATATTTGTCATGATTTAATATTAATTTTATTATCTTAACATCTTTCTTCATAATCTTTAACTTTCTTCATTTCAAGTGATCTGTTTAGTATAGAAAATTTATTTATAAACATGATATCTGAATTATCAAAAACAACAATGATGTAGAGTTTCACGTGATGGCACACTCACATTTATATATTTCATATGATTGAGGGAAGAAATCACATTTCTATATTTTAAATAAATGAAAACAACATGACAAAGATGTCTTGCAAGTCTGATGTAAATTATATTAACAAATTATATTTAAACTGACAAACCAATAACACTTTTATTCTTACATAAAACACCATGTAACATATTACAGAAAAATGCATCAATGTTTAAATATGTGACCTTATGAATCTGTGTACTATTATGCAATGATAAATCTTATGTAAAATATTTTTTATTTCACCTGTTTGAACTTACATATTATGTCGGCATAAATTTATGTATAGAAGTAGCACCAGTATAAATATTACACAATAAAGAGACACCACATGTGGTCTTCAAACACACACAAAAGTAGTTTTTGAAGCTAAATGTACCATAAGAGATATCAATAATGTAAGTTGACAGGAATAAATATATAACCCACTAATTTGTAGCATTGTATTTCATAGTATGTTTTCAAAGTAGTCATTGGATGCTAAATCTACCATTTACAATATTATAAACTACTTCAAATGTTTACAACAATCTCTCTGTTATTGTTTCATTAGCAGTAACTAGTTTAGGTTACTGTTAACATGGCCATCCCCCGCCGAATGTGTTTGCTCATTGGAAGAAACTATATGTAGAGCAGAATAATTCAATTTTAAGAGGTCTTGTGGTAATGAAAACTGATGGCTGAAGTGATATTAGTTACAGATTTGAAACCTATGTGAATACTGATGGCTGAAAATAACAAAGGGCAATAACTGAAAAATAATGCAGGGTACGCTATCATTCTTGTGTGCTTCACTCCTCCTCAATGAGATCTATCCACCTATGAAGTTTCAAATTAATACCTCTAACACTTTTTAAGATAAGCTCCGACATGTGACAAAAATTATGAAAAATAACAAAGGGCAATGACTCAAAAAATATAAAGGGTAGAGTAATCATTCTTGCGCACAGCATTCCTCCTAAATAAGATCTATTCACCTATGAAGTTTCATGTAGACATCTCAAAGACTTTTTGAGTTATGCTCCACTCAGGTGAAAAATTAAGTATGAAAAATAACAAAGGGCAATAACTCAAAAATTATAAAGGGAAGAGTTATCGTTCTTGCACACAGCATTCCTCCTCAATAAAATAAATCCACCTATGAAGTTTCAAATTGATATCTCAAGGCTTTTTTTTATTTAGTTATGCTCTGGACAAAAATTTAGTTTGAAAAATAACAAAGGGCAATAACTCAAAAATTTTGCATTATTTCAAATGTTACAATATTTAGTTCCAAATTAGTTTGCACAAATTATTTTTTTCATTTTAAGTTCAAAGCCCTTAAAACTATTCAATGTTAACATAACCATTTTAATACACAAAATATTTTATACAAAGTTCAAGGTACTTTAACCTTTTGTAAATTGCATATTGCATATTTGTAGCCAAAATAATGACTACATAAATTTCTACAAAAAGTACGAGTGCTGAAACTAAAAATTCAAACTTTTTCCAACATTCAAGAGATAACTTTGTCAAAAATCATTGAACCACGACCAAATTTGAAATTGAACTGCTTATTCCCAAGATGTATGTATATGTAAAATTTGAGTTGAATGTGTACAACCAATGGGGAGATAATGAAGGGAAACTAAAAATTTCTGATTTTTTTCAAAGTTCAAGAGGGATACCTCTGTCAGCTATCATCAAACAATGACCAAATTCAAACTTGACCTGTGTATTCTTATGACATATCCATATCTTTAAATTGAGTACAACTGTTGGGGAGATAATGAATGGGAACTGAAAATTTCCTTTTTTTTCAATGTGAAAGGGGCATAACTCTGCAAAAAATCATCCAACCATGACCAAATTCAATCTTGACCTGCCCATTCCCTTGACGTATCCATATGTCAAATTTGAGTTGAATGTGTAACACCATTGGGGAGATAATGAACGGAAACTGAAAATTTCATATTATTTTTAAAGTGAAAGAGGCATAACTCTGCCAAAAGTCATCAAACAATGGCCAAATTCGATCTTGACGTGCACATCTCTTTGACGTATCCAAATGTCAAATTTGAGATGAATGTCAAATACCGTTGGGGAGATAATGAACGGAAACTGAAAATTTCATATTATTTCCAAAGTGAAAGGGGCATAACTCTGCCAAAAATCATCGAACCATGACCAAAATTTGAACTTGACTTGCGCATTCCTTTGACTTATCCATATGTCAAATTTGAGTTGAATGATTGTGTAATACTGTTTGGGAGATAATGAAATGAAACTGAAAATTTCATCAAGGGGAAAAACTCAAAAATCATCTGACCATGACCAAATTCAAACTTGACCTGTATTTTCTCATGATATATCCATATAATTTGAGCTGAATGCGTCCAACCCTTACTAAGATAATATACCAAAACTGATGATGATGGAATGACAGAACAGGGTAACACTATATGCCTCAGCCATTATATGGCGGGGTCATAAAAATAACTTTGTTCATTATTGCAAAAATTGAAGCAAAATGTTCTTTTAGCCTAGCTTCAACTATTAATATTTCAATGAATGGTCAAATTTCTTAAAACACCATCTGATCTTAGAAAAATACACAACATTTTGGTCAATTTGTCATGTTTGTAGGGAATTACATATACAAATTAGCATGTTAGGATTGTGTGATATTGGAAGGAACTAAGTGTGTAAGATGATGTACTATATATTCTATAAAGATCTATGCAGGCATGTTACAGAATATAATTTTAATAATGTTAAATTGTCTTAATTTATCTGTTAATAGATCTTGTTGATAGACAAAACATTGACTCATCTATAAAATTCAAAAATCTCTTTTTATATATATAGAATCAAGTGAAGCTTCGGTATAAAATAAATCCATGGCATTGTTGAAAGCTAGGAAAATATGAAATGTTATAAATTTGAGGTATAACTTCACAAAATGTACGTACATTTTATCAAATAATAAATATGTTCTTTTTGTTAAATTCACAACTCAAATCAAAGCTGTACATAAACTTATTTCCCAAAATGTGTGCAAGGTTTTTTTTTCTGCATTAAATCAGGAAGTCACATTTTAAACATTTTTAGTGATTCAGTGCTTCTTTTATTAGTTAAAATTTTCAGAACTTTTGAGCAGCACTTTTGTAAAATTAGTATTATAAAATAGCACAAGAACGGTCCCCCATACAAAAATGGCATGTGTTGCTTTGAACATTTTCTACACAATTTATACATGGAAAATGACATGAATATATATATAAAAAAGTTAGGAGTATAATAATGTACCAGTGTCTCCCTATAATCTCAATGATATTTTTATATAATCTTTCTGAACCATGTTTCATCAAGTTTTCCAAAGAAAAAACTTTGTTGTTTAAGTTTTTCAATGATTTCAGCTTTTAATTTATAATGATATTTTAACACGACCAATATTTCACTTCTTTCTAATCAAAATTCAGATATACACTTGCAAAGTCATTAGAAAGAAACTGTTTCCAAGGTAAATCCTATCATCTTTTGTAGCCATGGTCCTCTATAACAAATAAATGATTGTAGATTGCACTCGATTTCATGGATTTATAAATCACCGCTTTGCAAACCATTCCATCAATACAGACGTTTTTCATACCTGTAAATAAACATGAACAATATTCTTTAATTAAATGTACATTCACTTATTCTGTAAAAGTATTTGCTGCCATAAAGGCATATCCATGCCAAAACAACTGATACATTTGCATTTACAATAACTTTAAAATGATTGCTCCCATATAAGGTAATTTTAGGTTTTCTGCCCAAAGTAAAAGTGCCCTTCTGTTTATTATTTCAGTCAATGATTTATCATATCATGCACATGCCATGCAGGCAATGGGTATAAACTACTCATGTCCAATAAAAGCAATCAAAACAAACAAGTGTTTTTAACTGTTACACCATAAACGGTAAGCAAATGCTCTAAACAGTCAATGGACTAACTTAAAATTTTCATTTTGATATTCTCAACATTGATATCAGATGATTTCCAAGTTGAATAAATTCATTAAAAAATTCATCACATACAATGTCAAAGTTTTTGGTATACCATACCTTTAATTTCCTTAAGTATAGTATGCATATTTTCGTAAATAGATTCAATATTACACAGATTTATGTCTCAATTTTATACAGGAATGAAACTCAATTCTCTACAGGAATATATGTCTAGTGTATACAGCAAGAAAGATACCAGTAAAATATACAAGAGAAGGGAACAAGGAACAAGACTTTATCAACTTTCAACATGAAGATTAAAATGAACACAATGCTGTACTTTTTTTTTTCTTTCTATTTTTGAAGTTTGATAAAAGAGTATGGCATGCATAAACAAGAGGGCCCTGAAATTGAAATCGCTTGACACCTGTATATAGGCCCCCGAGGTGGGGCCAATTTTAACCCAGGGGCTTTTATTTGAACAAACATGGTAGACACCCATTTGAAAATGTTTCATGATAAATATCTAAGCTTTAGCTTTAAGAAGATTTTTTAAGTTTTTACTATACACATATAGGGAAAAATAATGACCCCCCTCCCCTCTCTGGGCGGTGCCAATTTTGTCCTCAGGGCTTTTATTTGAACAAACTTGGTAGACACCCACTAGAAGATGTTTCATGCTTAATAGCTAAGCTCTAGCTACTTGGGTTTTTTAAAAGAAGATTTTTTAAGTTTTTACTATATACAAATAAGGAAAATCAATGATCGCCCGGGCAGGGCCAATTTTGACCCCAGGGCATTTATTTGAAAAAACTTGGTAGACACTGACTAGATGATGTTTCATGCCAAATATTTAAGCTCTAGCTCTTCCTGTTTCTTAAAGAAGATATTTTAAGTTTTTTCTTTCAGTTGCCATGGCAACCAGAGTTCTGCTTGGAATGAAATTCTTTGAACTATTTGAAAAGTTGACTACCAAAGGTACATTCCTGTGAAGTTTGGATGAAATTGACTTTTTATGAGGAGATGCCGTTTAAAGTAAAAGTTTACGAACGGTCACCGGACGAAAAGCGATCACAAAAGCTCACCATGTCACGTTGTGACAGGTGATTTAAAAATTATTGATAATAATTAATAAATTAATGGGATTCATCATTTGGAGGTGTTGTTTAAGGAATAGTAATTTTGACCCTGATGGATGTGTGTTTTTAAGTAGCAACACCAAAAGCTTTATAATTGTGATAGAAAAATGCCTGTAGTCCACACCAGATTTTCCCAAGAGTATAATCATTTGTACATGTGTACAAAGTTATCAAATGATTTATATTTAACCTTTACTCTGCTGGAAACAAGGGTGATAAACCTTTGCTACTAGCATAGAGCCAGGCCAGCAGTTCAAGGCCCAATCCTGCTAGGTGACCAGTGCAGACTGACCAGGTTCTACACTGTTGGTAGCTCTTATGTTTTGTATTTTTCTACGGACTACTGAAAATTCAGAGCAGAGACATTACATTACATTTTAGCCATTTACGTTTAAATTTATCATTATGATACAGAAATCTTTCAAAGTCATGATGTATGGCTCAAATACATGAAATACAAGTAAAGCAAGATAAAGATTGGGTCAAAAATAGATCTTAAAGCATATCTCACCTGCCTATATGATCAAATACTAAATACAATAGAACAATAACATGCATTTAAATTTTATAACAGTCTTTGAACAGTCTGGAAAACTTAGTATTGACATAACTTAAATTACAGAGCAAAGTATTTCCGTTCAACAATCAAAATACATCTTATATCTTTTTCATAATAGTCCCCATTTACAATATTAACTAACATATATGTTCAATTTACAAGTAATCACCAATTACTATTTTCAAAGACTGTAATCTATGTTTTACTTTACAAGGAGGGTTAAAGGCATGCTTTGTATAAACAAATTATTATATAACATAAAAGCCTACCATATCCAGTCCTAAGCTGCATTCGTACTCTGATAGCTATCAGAAAATGATTCAGTATTAGTAATAAAAACAAAAGTATTTAATCTGTGAAACATTAATTCAACAAAATTTGAATGAGCATACATTAATTTTCCTGTGATATTGTTAATTGTATTAGTGTTATTCCCTTACCATGCTAAATATGTTTAATGAACTAGTCCAGCTTTCAAAACCATTTTATCTTTTTTAAGGAAAATTGATATTTTCCAAATATATACTGACTGAATAAGAAACAGAGCACACATTGAACTGATCAAACAGCACAGATGTGACGACTGTATCTTATACCGGATTCCGGTACAGACCGGAATGTCTAGCTTTAGGGTAACTGTTTACGGCGGTAACAAGGCTCTTCCCAGTTACAGCTAAACAGTTACCCGAGAGCTAGATATTCCTATCTGCACTGATAGCCGGTGTTTGATTCTTTTTCTTGCATGTTACATATACATTTTCAGAACAGAAATTATGAAAACTGATATTCTCATCACACATTTTTTTCTTACAGTAGCGTATGAACTTACAACTTCATTCATAACGGTTAAGTGACGTCATCCTAAGATCGCAATTCATTCATAAAAGATGCGCCACAATGACCTCATTTAAAGCACACGACTTGTTTTACATGGGGGGTGTAATATAAAGTTTTCTAGCAACAGTGTAAACGGTAGATAATCGGATAAATCCTGTTTGATATGCAAGAAATCTTGGTCTGCACAGGTTCCAGTGGTAGATTCAGTTGCCACCTGCACGCTCTGAATGCTAGTGATGTAGACTAGGCCATGTCACCAGTATAATGGCAATCACACCAGGTGATGTAGACTAGGCTATGTCACCAGTATAGAGAGACAGACCAGTCTGTACCTCCATGCAATCTCACCAGGTGATGTAGACTAGGCTATGTCACCAGTATAATGAGACAGACCAGTCTGTACCTCCATGCAATCACACCAGGTGATGTAGACTAGGCTATGTCACCAGTATAGAGACAGACCAGTCTGTACCTCCATGCAATCACACCAGGTGATGTAGACTAGGCTATGTCACCAGTAAAGAGACAGACCAGTCTGTACCTCCATGCAATCACACCAGGTGATGTAGACTAGGCTATGTCACCAGTATAGAGACAGACCAGTCTGTACCTCCATGCAATCTCACCAGGTGATGTAGACTAGGCTATGTCACCAGTATAGAGACAGACCAGTCTGTACCTCCATGCAATCTCACCAGGTGATGTAGACTAGGCTATGTCACCAGTATAGTGAGACAGACCAGTCTGTACCTCCATGCAATCTCACCAGGTGATGTAGACTAGGCTATGTCACCAGTATAGAGACAGACCAGTCTGTACCTCCATGCAATCTCACCAGGTGATGTAGACTAGGCTATGTCACCAGTATAGAGACAGACCAGTCTGTACCTCCATGCAATCTCACCAGGTGATGTAGACTAGGCTATGTCACCAGTAAAGAGACAGACCAGTCTGTACCTCCATGCAATCACACCAGGTGATGTAGACTAGGCTATGTCACCAGTATAGAGACAGACCAGTCTGTACCTCCATGCAATCTCACCAGGTGATGTAGACTAGGCTATGTCACCAGTATAGAGACAGACCAGTCTGTACCTCCATGCAATCTCACCAGGTGATGTAGACTAGGCTATGTCACCAGTATAGTGAGACAGACCAGTCTGTACCTCCATGCAATCTCACCAGGTGATGTAGACTAGGCTATGTCACCAGTATAGAGACAGACCAGTCTGTACCTCCATGCAATCTCACCAGGTGATGTAGACTAGGCTATGTCACCAGTATAGAGACAGACCAGTCTGTACCTCCATGCAATCTCACCAGGTGATGTAGACTAGGCTATGTCACCAGTATAGTGAGACAGACCAGTCTGTACCTCCATGCAATCTCACCAGGTGATGTAGACTAGGCTATGTCACCAGTAAAGAGACAGACCAGTCCGTACCTCCATGCAATCTCACCAGGTGATGTAGACTAGGCTATGTCACCAGTATAGGGACAGACCAGTCTGTACCTCCATGCAATCTCACCAGGTGATGTAGACTAGGCTATGTCACCAGTATAGAGACAGACCAGTCCGTACCTGCATGCAATCTCACCAGGTGATGTAGACTAGGCTATGTCACCAGTATAGAGACAGACCAGTCTGTACCTCCAAGCAATCTCACCAGGTGATGTAGACTAGGCTATGTCACCAGTAAAGAGACAGACCAGTCTGTACCTCCATGCAATCTCACCAGGTGATGTAGACTAGGCTATGTCACCAGTATAGAGACAGACCAGTCTGTACCTCCAAGCAATCTCACCAGGTGATGTAGACTAGGCTATGTCACCAGTAAAGAGACAGACCAGTCTGTACCTCCATGCAATCTCACCAGGTGATGTAGACTAGGCTATGTCACCAGTATAGAGACAGACCAGTCTGTACCTCCATGCAATCTCACCAGGTGATGTAGACTAGGCTATGTCACCAGTATAGAGACAGACCAGTCTTTACCTGCATGCAATCTCACCAGGTGATGTAGACTAGGCTATGTCACCAGTAAAGAGACAGACAAGTCCGTACCTCCATGCAATCTCACCAGGTGATGTAGACTAGGCTATGTCACCAGTATAGAGACAGACAAGTCTGTACCTGCATGCGATCTCACTTGGTGATGTAGACTAGGCTATGTCACCAGTATAGAGACAGACCAGTCTGTACCTCCATGCAATCTCACCAGGTGATGTAGACTAGGCTATGTCACCAGTATAGAGACAGACCAGTCTGTACCTCCATGCAATCTCACTTGGTGATGTAGACTAGGCTATGTCACCAGTATAGAGACAGACCAGTCTGTACCTCCATGCAATCTCACCAGGTGATGTAGACTAGGCTATGTCACCAGTATAGAGACAGACCAGTCTGTACCTCCATGCAATCTCACCAGGTGATGTAGACTAGGCTATGTCACCAGTATAGAGACAGACCAGTCTGTACCTCCATGCAATCTCACCAGGTGATGTAGACTAGGCTATGTCACCAGTATAGAGACAGACCAGTCTGTACCTCCATGCAATCTCACCAGGTGATGTAGACTAGGCTATGTCACCAGTATAGAGACAGACCAGTCTGTACCTCCATGCAATCTCACTTGGTGATGTAGACTAGGCTATGTCACCAGTATAGAGACAGACCAGTCTTTACCTGCATGCAATCTCACCAGGTGATGTAGACTAGGCTATGTCACCAGTATAGAGACAGACCAGTCTGTACCTCCATGCAATTTCACCAGGTGATGTAGACTAGGCTATGTCACCAGTAAAGAGACAGACCAGTCTGTACCTGCATGCGATCTCACTTGGTGATGTAGACTATAGTCTGTCCCATTAAAAATGGAAATGAACTTTTGCCTGGTGTGAATTAACAAAACGAGGTTGAATAAAAATTAAACTATTTTTGTAAACTAAAAAAAAGTCACCCTCGAGATTTTTCAGGATTTTTCTCTAAAGTGTCTACTTTTCTTGTAAAAGCAAATTTTGATTTCTCTATGGTAAATCTCTGTTGTTTATTTTCCGTAGCCATTGCCGAAGTACTCTTCATTTGAAGATGAACGGGAGAAAGCACGTGTCATGGTTCTAAAATATACATGAGGTTGTCGGGGTCGTTTCATGATTATTTTACAAAGCATGATCTACAAGATGTAACAGTTTAGTTGCAATGCGTGATGGAAAACATTGAAAAATAAATAATAAGCAACTTGTCGAGTCACATGAAGAAAATCTAGAAATTGCACTTACTTTTATGCTGAATAGAATCCCTATGAATTTCGAAATAGATCTTTATAAAGGTCACGACAAATTCGCATTCTGAAGATTCCTTCATTACCACATTCTATCAAGTTCCGTAGATCCCATTTTTTACTTTGAAACTCCTGAATCTCCTACACTTATGGTAATCCAGAATTTTTTAAACTGTTCATCCGTCTCATTATTAAAACATAGTGTTCAATTTGTGGAGTTATCTGGGTTAGCAAATGAAATATGTAAATGAAACACATCATAATTCAGTATGTTCCAAATCCATAATTCAAGAAAGGCCCATCAATTTTACATGTCAACATCACAATGTTTATAACTCTTGAAACGAAAAAAACTTTATTACGTCAACAACAATGTACGAAATATATGACGTAACAAAAATGCCTCGCGCTTTTTATGGATTATCCAGTTGCGGCATTGACAGAGGGCGGTTAGGCATATGTAACCTCATACAGATAATTTAAAGCGTTGAGATAAATTTGTCTTGATGTCATTTAAAATAATTTTTGTATACCCAGATTTCGCAACTTAACTGTTAAAATTACACCTTCAATGCATATATTAATAATGAAACTTTTGATAACATTTAATTAATTTTAAACACATTTAATAACATGAATCTATAACAGTAACAGATACAATACTTCTTCCATTAATTACATAGATCTATAACCTTCGTTTTGATTTTATGTTTTTAAACCATTTTATATTTTTCTCAGAAATGATTTCCCTATATATTATCTCGTTATTCAAGACTTCTTTAAATCCTACTATTTTAGCTACAAAATATACAATACGCGGTAGATTCTCTATTTTTTCTCTCCTATGGTATATATATATGTTCCGTAACAATGTAATTCAGTAACTAACTTCAAAAGCTTTCAGTATACAAACGGAGCGAATGGTGTGTGTTAAACTTCCACACAATATGTCCAAGATATTGAACATTAAAAGCAAATCATAGAAAACGTTGTTTATGAAAGTCAGATTTTTCATTTTTTGTGAACCAAAGTGCTTCAATCATGGGAGAATGGCTGAGTTTCGTATTATACAGATCTATTTGAATATTTAATGTTAATTTATTGAACTTTAATAGAAATTTTCAGGTTAGAAAATTTCACCCAAATTTTTATTGTATTTACTCATTATATTTGGATTTTTTATGTCT